TGCCCCACAGCCCAACAATGTTGGGACATCCTCAGGATCCCAGAAGAACTTCGCAACATACGAAGCTTAGTCGCCCCACTGGCGCAGATTATAAATGATACAACTATCATCAAATTGGACAAGTTGATTAAGACTCTTTGGAGGTTATGGATACAACGACGAGCACAAGGGGAGGCCCATGCTCGTCCTCCAACCACCAACCAATTGTCTTTCCTCTTGTCCAGCCAAAGTTCCTAATGAAAAATAAATCTTATCTAACATGAGTTGCTTCTACAAGGTGCCTTCTGTTGCGCACCAAGTTGCAAAAAATCCTCAAAAAACAAAATTGAATTCAAAAATTAATTAAATTATAACGGTTTGACCATAATGGTGTGTTATCCATTACAATAGGTATATAGTCAGTAGATTATAATATACTTCCCATTAGCAAAAAAACAGGATTCAGATAAAGAAAACATTGAGTAAGAACTCACCTGACCAATAATCAGGTGTCATATACTAGTCAAGTATTGTAGCCTTTTGATGTGCTGATAGCTACTGCATAAATTACCAATTAATCTGGCCAGGCTACTCCTAATTAAATTTTCCTTAATAATAATCCCGCTTCACTTCAAGGAACAATAATTGCGTCAATAAAGAAGCGTCAGAGTTTCTCGAATAACATCTCATCTTGTTTACCAACGTTCGAGTATTGACTGAGTATTTCTTTAAATTGAGTGTTTCTTAATATCTGAGGTTGTGAGTTGATAATTTAATTTGTTCACAGGTAGTTCTAAAGGGAATCATGGACTAACAAACTATGCAACCAGGAGGAGCAAAACTATTAATCAGAATTGTATACCTTTTGCAACACATTTGAACCCAGTATGCATGATTCTTCCGCTGAGGTAGCCGATGAGAGGGTCGATGCCATCGAACCTGTCGGCAAGGAGGCGAAACATTTCGCTAATGGTACAGAACAAAGAGATTTTTACAGCTTACGCGTTGAATAAACCTAATGCTCATCGAAGCCCCAATTGTGCAGTCGCAGTTATAATTATGGTTCCAAAGATTTGAATAGAAATGAATTGATTTTGAGTTTGTCTCGACAAAGTTCCAAAATGAAAGAAGCCTCCACTTCACCAGGCCAACACGTTGCTAATGATTATGAGTACTTCTTGGTAGAACTGTATAAAGTAGTGCGTGATTGACAAACTATCCAAGGCGCAAACTTTTTGTTTCACAATTTGAGAAATTTCACTTTTAGCGCAGCCTGATCGTTTTTTTTACGAGCTGCAGCATCTCACGAAGATCATCTGAGATGAATGACGCACCTCTGTAAAATGGAATGAACTTATAGTGACTGGGTCACTCAAAAAAAATTCCTTTTACCAAAGAAAATCTGAAATTTATATCAAGAACATCCTTAGTATCGTTTTCTTGCACGATCTTAAAGAATTAATTTGAATGTAGGTTTGCCTTTTGTCTTTACCAGTATGGTCGTTAGGTGAGTAACTCACATTGGAAGTATGTTAAAGAATCTATTGCGTATACGCGATAGACTGGATTGCCTATGGATAAACGAAAGCCATCAGACAAGGAGCTTACCCAGAGTAAAATATTAGGTGTAAAAAGTTTGGTGCAAGATACGTCTTGAATTCCGTTATCTCCCCCTTCTGGTAATGATTTGATGACTTATCTTTACCCAAATGGGTCACTCTGTAGTGACAAGTTTCTTAAAAAATAATCTGTTTTCAGGAAAAGATGAGGCTTCTAGAAAAGGAGTAGTATAACTGAAATCCCACGCTTTCAAGCGGCTTGCATATTATACGAGAGCCTCTGTAATCGACCAATACACAAATAATAAAATGTGGTTTGATTGGAAAGTTCATGCAGTCAAAGTAAAATCTTTTCCATAGTTTCTAGTCTGTACAATTCAATATTTTCCAACCATAACTCAAAGAAATTTGTAATTGTCCCTAATTGAACCTATGAAGTATGGAACAACTTGCATGTACAAAATGAAGTAGTATGGTAGTAAGGATGGATGGGGAAAGCTAGCTTTTCGGTAGAAAAGCGTAGCTTTATTATCGAATTTGAAACTAACTTGCGTATATAATAAAAGACGGGAGATCGCGCTTAGCAGAATACCAATAGATAGTCTTGGTATTAAGACTATTTCCAGAGTATGGTAGTAAGGATGTTTTCAGAGTATGGTAGTAAGGAT